GCTGTTAAGTATGGTCCCTTTTCGTCAATTTTCAAGATTTTCTGCCTAAAAAGAGTTTTTAATAAGTTTTTCTCACAAAATAAATATATTTTAAAGTGATCTTACTTACAATTCTATTTAATTTCACTCCTTTTAACTCAGTAACTCATTCAAACTAAAACATCAGTCTTCTCATCATATGTATTTTTTTTTATCATTTTCAAACATTTTGATCTTTTTGCTTATATAATATGTAAATAAATAAATATATGTAAAAAAAAAGGTTTACCATTAAAAAAAAATATTCTGTGATTGGATTTTTTTAATGTGTTCAATTTCCAGTAATTGTTTATAAACATACTTATTTCAACTACAAATACATGTTGTATATTGATTTCGGCTAGAAATAGTATCAAACATTTTCTTTCCTTTTTTGTTTTTATTTAAAGTTTCATTGCTAATTGTAAAACAGTTGTGTTGCACTTATTATGGCTGTAGTTTATTTTAAATTAAAATCATAGAACATAAACTGTTAGTTTCTTTTTATTTCTTTGCCTCAAATCCTCAGGCACAATGGGGCCAGGAACAATACTTATCTTTGTTTCCATTTATTCTCATTCGTACTAGGACACCACCTACTGTCGGTGGAAACTGTAAGGGATACTTGTATCAGATATGCCCGTGCCTTCCCTTACAGAGAATGCCTTCCGTCTGGTAGTATGAGTCGCTGAAACATCTACAAAAGCCGGGGAATATCAATCCTATCAAGCTTTATGTAGTCCTTTTTCTGATCAATAGTTTTATAAAGAACTCGCTCCACTAACAGAGAGTAATATTCCTCTTTCTTTATGTAGAAGATGTGTTCAAAAAGTAGCTTCACTGCTATAAAAAGGAAGTGAACGTCTATAAATTACATGTGTTTGTTACATTAACATGCTGTCACTCGAATAAAATTAAAAAGTATACTTAAGGGAGTGAAAGTTTGACCTACTTATTATTAAAACAAACGGTATAATTAAGTATCAGTCCACATAAACATCAGACAAATTAAGGTGATATATGAGGGTTCTCAAAATTTTATGATTTTCAACCCATAAATTTATTTTGAAGTATGAACAATGTATGTAAAATGAAAAAAATGTTTTGAGTAATGGTTACCATAGAAACTTGGCCAAATAAATTTCTTAGCAACCGGCAGATTTTTTCAGTTTTTTAGGACAAAAAAATTACCTATCTTTAAGACTTAAAATAACATGTTAATACCAACAGAATTATTCTCATTTTTTGATGTAATAAAGATACATATTTTAAGTGTTTTAACAATGTAATAAAAAATATTTAGGTCTTAAGTCAGTTCTGTGCAAAACATTGGAAGGTACACATGTTTTATAATTTTTGATGATTCAGCATTTTTCGTGATTTTGGCAATATTCAAGGCCAAATTTTAAAAATGACCAAATTAATACAATTTTTGCGTGTATTTCATATGAAAGCAGAGGAATTTCTCTTTTAGAATTTGAAGTCAAATCCATTGGTTCTTTAAAAATGGAGTATGTTGCCTAGAAAATAATATTGGCGTTTTGGTGCATAAAATGAAAAATAATTTAAAAAGTTTACGGGAAAATCATATGAACTCTTATCTACGATAAACGAGATACAAATTTTAAGATTTTAAGACTCCCTAGCAACTTATTGAATAATGCATAATTCTTTATCTCCATAGCAACCACAGGTTCTCCCTATCAACGAGGCAAAGAAAGATAATTTTTGTGACTGTTTACGTTTAATTTTATTAAGGCTTATTCAAATTAAGTAAAACAAAGTGATCAAGCAGAATTAACAATGAACTGTTGGTCAGTGTCTTTAAGTTTTTTGGTTCTAAATTAAACCATGGCAACGATTCCCAGTACATGGCAACCGATGTACCCTATGTCTCCTGTAAACTTGTATCTTTAACTGCAAAATCTTGGACCTTGAATTGGCCTTAACTTTCGCACGGATGATGCTAGAGCTTTCATTTTTAATATTTATATTTCTTTTGACTAGAGCTTTCTTTGGGTTCCAACTTTTACGTCATCATGACCTTTGACCTTCTTTTGTAAAAAAAATAACTTTGGCTCTTTACCTTGACTATTTTGATCTTGACCCTGGACTATATATTTGATTAAAAACCTTCTTCCTAGCCATGCAAAGCCTAATTCCAGAAATACACATGATTGGTAATGATTTATGTGCATATTTGCATTGATTTCTCTTCTCTTTCCCCCTTTGGGAAAAAATTTAAAAACCTATTTTGGTTTTTGATTGTTGTTTAACGTCCCTCTCGAGTATTTTTCACTCATATCGAGATGCCGCCACCTGCCAGTGGAGAGCTGCAAACTTTGACCTACAAATGTATGGCAGTGAGCAGGGAGGGATCTTTCTCATACCAGCATCGACTGCAAAAAGGGACCTTGGTTTAAATGGTCTCTTCCGAAGGACTGGTTTCCACGTCTAACAAAGGGATTTGAATATGCAACATAAGGATCAACTTCTAACTCCATGATTCTAGAGCAGACACTCTAAGCAGTAACCACGTCTAACAAAGGGATTTGAATATGCAACATAAGGATCAACTTCTAACTCCATGATTCTAGAGCAGACACTCTAAGCAGTAAGCACTGCACCATATCGGCAACTTTAGCATATATATATATATATATATATATATATATATATATATATATATATATATATATATATATATATATATATATATATATATTGTTATTATTGATTTTCAAATCATACATGCAATCTTTCAATTGAATTTAGTATATGATGAAATTCTTTGCTTAAGAACCAATTTAAACTTGGTGCAATATGTAAAACCATTAGATATATATGATCTTTACTAGCATTATAATCAAGTCCGGAGATCATGAGACATCTTAAGCTTACTCTTTCAGGATTATCCTGAGATGTCCTAAGAAATTTCAGATAATCTCAAGATTTATTTAATTCTAGGATATCTTGAAAAAATCCCCAGATAATTCCTAAGAAACCCTGGTATGTTTTTGGAATAGGAATTCCTAAAATTTCCTTGGACATTCCTTAAAAAATCACAGGAATAAAAATGCCAAGACTTCCCAGAATATCCCAGGCCTTAAAAATGTCCTAGGAAATAAAGAATTCCTATGATGTCCTATGATATCCTAGGACATATCCATTTTAAAATTTATACATAAAAAAAAACATAATTGTAAAATCTCTGAAAATTTACTGAATGTATGTATAATAGACTTTCATGGCCAAACAAAAATTAATACATATAATAAAATAATTTTAAAAAATGCTGATGGTATCTGATACAACTGATACTTTACTATATATACTAATGTAACATTACAGTGCAGATATACGAATGATATTGAACTTTGACTCAACATCATGATTTACACACAAGGGGTAAAACATTTTCTTATTTTCATGCTATGTTAATACATTCTGAAGCAGCTCTTATTGATTATTAATGATATACAATAACAAATTCATGTATTAATAATAATTAAAAAGATATAAAAATCAACAAACTTCTTCTTTCACATATATTCAATGTCACTTTAAAACAAAATATTCAAGCAAAAATAAGTTTTTTTATTCAAATACAACAGGTATTTTATTGAGATTCAGAGTAAGCATCACTTTCGTTATACCCTGAAGAACATGATAGATGGGGAAGGCATACCAAATAAATGGAAAGATTTAAGATGATTATTAATTAGACATTACCAACAACTTTTTTCAGCTTTTTCTTCATTGTTTTATTAATTTAGAATATTAATATATCATTATGATAAAAAAATTAGTTCGTGCTTTTTTTTTTAATTCAGAAATGGGTCTATGGATATTTAAAGACTAAACAAAAAACAGACAGAAAATCTCCAAAATCATCAATATTAGTGAAAAGATATTGGAAAAAAGTACTCATATGTTAAAAATGTCCAAATAAATGTCATAAAGGACTTAGAGACAACATGAGGATGCTGACTGAAAATTTTGTGACTTTTTTTAAAAAAGAATAAAAATATCGTTAAATGGAAAACTGTTGCAGGTGTTCAATCTTTAAAAATGCTTGTCTTAAGAAATATAAATTGATTCAGTATTACCTCAACTTTCATATTAATTTGCAAAAATATGTTTTCCTTAATATGGTCTAACTTTATATTGAAACTGCGCGTGCCGCAGTGGTAAGAGCATCTGCTCTAGAGTCGCAAGTAAGGAGTCAATTCTTACGTCGCGGGTTCGAATTCCACCGTGGGACGTGGAGACCGGTCCTTCGGATGAGACCGTATAAACCGAGGTCCCGTGTCGCAGTAGGTGCTGTCACGAAAAAGATCCCTCACTGTTCAATGACCCGAGTAAAGGATAAAATTGCTAACTGTCCATCACACAAAATATTATTCCATTAAACTAGGACGGGGGCTTTAAGACATAGAAAATTAAATTGTATTGCCGTTTTGATTTTTTTAATTAAGGAAGTGGTATATTTGAGTTTTTATAGTATCTTCTAATATTAATTAGACCCAAATCACATGGGTGCAACTTCATGAATAAACAGCACATCATTTCTCCTTACATGTATTTCGAAGCTGCAACGTTGAGTTTGTTTCACTTTAAAGTTTTTAAACATAAGCATAATCTGAAATTAGAAATGAATAGGCCTACAACAGGGTTTTTATTTATTCATTTTTTTTATTTTATTTTATTTTTTTTTTAATTTTTTTTTTTTTTGCAAACTGTGGACGTAAAATTTTCCATTTACATGTATGATGCTCAATAAATAATGTTTCATAATTTTCGATACAGACAATATCTGATTTTTTAATACACATTAGTATTTCACTGTGTGTTTCAATGTAAACTTCCGTGGTAGTAAATGAAATGGTTTATTAACCAATAGGTCTTCTTGTGAAGCTTAAGTAGGACAGGGTATTGCGGAAGAAATTTGGTAAACATTGTTTAACACTGCTTTTTCCAGTACTATGTATATTTAATGTAGGAGCATGCATTTGGAAATATTATCAGTGTTACTACTACTGAAAACTGTGGAAATTCTATGTTATGGTAGGGGTATAATGTTTCTTATCTTGATCTGAGTATGAATTAGTTGTTAGGACACTGTACAGAGAGTAATCATGCATAACAGTTTAATTCATTAACGAAGTCGTGTAAAGCTGGCTTGATAGAGGATGGAAGCAATTAGGACATTTTTGGCTTTAAGTATCTATTTTGACATTTTCAAGTCTCAAAAAATGAATGATGCAACATACTTTAAAATAACTTAAAGGTGGAAGGAGTGTTGTAATGAAACGGACCGTCAATTTTTATAACAGGACAAGGACAGGAAAATCTGCCCCTAAAGAAATATTTTTGTGTTGTTCTAGCAACTTATTTTGTTCATTGCAATAACCGTATTCTTAATTTTAAAAGTAGTCTGTGTGAATGTACAAAAGTCCTTTTAAATATTGATATGTACACCCATTTTGAATTCTTTGTTCAGACAAATAGTCTTTTAAGCAACATCATGCCACATGGTAACTTTCGCAGAGGTCGGATTTTTGATTGAAAGTATATAAATGTTTATTATGATATTATGATCATGATGATAATTGACCCTTTTTTAAAATAAAATTGTTTCCCCTGCTCATCGCTCAAATCTACCAGTGGGGCTAGTCTATGAGAGTTTTACAATGGAGAACTAAACAGGAAATAGGGTTTTTAGCTCACTGAGCGACTCAAGTGAGCTTTTTTCTGATCACATTTTGTACGGCGCCCGTCCGTCTTGCTGCCCGTCTGTCTGTAAACTTTTCACATTTTCGACTTCTTCTCTAGAACCACTGGGCCAATTGCAACCAAACTTGCCAAAAAGCATCCTTAGGTAAGGGAATTCAAGATTCAAATGAAGGGCTACGCAATGATTCAAGGGGAGATAATTCAGGTATAGTGAAATTTAATGGCATGTTTTAAAAATCTTCTACTCAAGAACCACTGTACCAGGAAAGACGAAACTTATGGGCAAACACCCTCAGGTTGTGTAGATTAAAGTTTCTTCAAATCAAGACCCCTAGGGGTAGGGCGGGGCCACAATGGCCGACCAAATTTTTACAGAGAAATATATATAGAAAAATTCCTTTAAAATCTTCTTTTCAAGAATAGCAATGCCACGATTGTTTATATCAATATGGAAGCATTTTCAGGAAGTCTAGATTTAAATTTGTTCAAATCATAACCCCTTGGGGTAGGGCAAATGACCGACCAAAGATTTACATAGTAATACATGGGGAAATTCTTGAAAAATCCATCCTCTTCTTGAGAATAGCAAAGCCATGATTGATCATATTCATATGGAAGCATTCCCAGGTAGTATAGATTCAAGTTTGTACAAATCATGACCCCCGGGGGTAGGGCGGGGCCACAATGGGGGTCCAAATTTTTACAGAGAAATATAAAGGAAAATTTCTTTAAAATCTTTTTCTCAAGAATAGCAATGCCACAATTGGTCATATTAATATGGAAGCATTTTCAGGAAATGTAGATTTAAATTTGTTCAAATCATAACCCCTTGGGATAGGGCGGGGCGACAATTACCGACCAATGTCTGCATAAAAATATTTAGAAAAATTCTCGAAAAATCTTCTTCTCAAGAATAGCAAAGCCATGATTGATCATATTTATATGGAAGCATTCTCAAGTAGTGTAGATTCAAGTTTGTTCTAATCATGACCACCAGAAATAAGGTTGGGCAACAATGGCCGATTAAAGTTTTACATAGAAATATTTAGGAAAAATCTTTAAAAAATTCTCTCAAGAATAACAAGCCATGATTACATGTACGTGGACATATTTATTATGAAGCATTCCCAGGTAGTGTTTATTCAGATTTGTTCAAATCATGACCCCTGGGGATAGGGCGGGTGCCACAATGGCCGACCTAAGTTTTACATCGAAATATATATATAGGAAAATTATTGAAGAATCTTTGTTACATGTACCCCTCAAGGTCTCGCATGTACCAACGACAAAGAACATGCGCATTACGCATGTGCATTCGATTGAGTTGATGAACAATGGTGGAAAACTCTTCTCGAGAATTGCAAAGCCATGATTGATCATATTTTCATGAAAGCATCCTCAGGCACATGTAGTGTAGATTTAAGTTTTTGCAATTCATACCCTCTCTCCTTTAAGGAATGGTTGGGGCTACTTTTGAGACTGAACTTTTCAGTAATAAACTAATTTCTGCGTTTTTCATAGCCACAGTGCTCAGATGAGCGACGTGGCCCATGGGCCTCTTGTTGCATCTCATGACCGTTTACATGTAAAATGGGACGAGGGCAAAATAAAAGGTTACACTTCTGCCAGGGAATCTTATATACCGTTCCAAACCAATTATTTATCAAACACAATTAATACAGCATTCTAAATTGGTGTAGAATCATCTTTCCTTTCAAAAGAAATTTCTGTATATGTTTTGACCAAGTCCCTTTTCTGTAGCCATAAGTGCTAAAGTGAATATTGCATGCTTTGTGTCTCTTTTAATGACAGTTCAACACTCTTTAAAAACCAAAAGTCTCTGTCGAGACTGAAGCTCTACAAGTTTGTATTTATAGCAAAGGAAGAGAAAAATACTTATACAGTTGGGAGTTGAAACTTTACAACAGCAATAAATAGAATTATGATCTTTGATAAAGTATATTTATGTTCTTAGTGTAGTCTACTTGCATGTCATATTATATTATAATCAGACTAAACCTGTATTTGGAGAAGCATTTTGAGAGTATTCAACAGAAATTTCTGTTTTTAGTAACCAAGGCAATAATGTTCATCAAAGTTAAAAACCGATATGAACAGCTGTGTGTCTTAATGTAGTCTACTTATGTGCCAAGTTGTATTGAAATCATAACCAAAACTTTAGGAGACGTAGCATTTTGAAAGAATTTCACAGAGAATTCTAGTTTTAGTAGCCACGTGCACGGCAAAACCTTTCATCAAAATGAATATACAGAATTATGCATCTTAGTGCAGTCTACTTGTGTGCCAAGTTATAAAGTAATCAGACCAAAACTGTAGAATGAGTAGCATTTTAAAAAAATGTTTACAGATAGACAGACAGACGGACGGACGCCGGACGCATTGCTACATGTATCACATAAGCTGTTCTGGTCTCTGACCAGTAAAGCTAAAAGTTGCTTCAACCTTTTCAGCAGTATATAAAGCAACTGAATTTATTTTAATCTATCATATTTCGGTTGCAAGGAAAAAAGAAGTCGCATATCTTTGATGAAAAAGACAAAAAATTGCGCAGTTTACATTCTTTTTTACTTATATCAGAATTAACTTCTACATTTCAAAATTCATACAATTTTGTCTAGAAAAGATGATATTATATGAAGAGGTTTAAAATTATCAAAGATATTCCGTTTTATTTACCGGAGTATTTATCTGAATTTCGACTGTTCAACCAGAATTAAATATACATTTACGTCTTCATTAATCTAGATGTTTTGTCTCACAAAAAACCGGCTTTTCAAAGTGCAACATTATCTTGGATTGGTTCTGAGGCAAATAGTGCTGTTGATGGGAATCTTGCTACGTGTGCAAGGACTGATGTAATTGGTTCTAATAGTCAACAGGATAGAACTTGGTGGTACGTGGATCTGGGTGATATCTACAGTGTATACAACATACGGATACACTTTGAGGACATAGGGAAAGCATATAGTAAGTTTTATTGTTCTATTCTGTATTTATATTTTTATAAATTGTTTACTTTTTTCCTTAATTATATATTAATAATAGTAAATTCAAGACAGGCAGGGTACTTTTTTTCTTATTTTTTTTTTATAATTTGAATACTGTTCGTTATCTGCTTATACTTCATATAAAAAGTTGTTTTGCTGAAACACCTCTATGTAGATAATCTTTAATCCTAAAAGTAGTTACTGCTTATAATTTGAAGTACAAGAGAGAGAGAGAGAGAGAGAGAGAGAGAGAGAGAGAGAGAGAGAGAGAGAGAGAGAAAGAGTAATCCAGTAAATCCTGTTATATACATAAAAAATCTTTTGTTTCTTTTGTTTTGTTTATTTTTTTATCTTGCTTGAGTGTTATCATTTGTTAAATCACAGACATATCCCTTAGGGCACACCAATGTAAAATTTGGTCGTCGGACCCTTGCGCTCGTATTTCTACAAAATTAAATAAATAGTATTTATTTTAATTTTTCGCAACACGGAATTATTTTGTGCTATTTTCTGTTCCATTTCCCCTCTATTTTTTTCGTATTTTAAGTCTGTGTACTGTGTCGGACGAACATGGAATTAAATTGGTGTGACCTTATGCATAATAATGAAGTGTCCTAGCCTTTACTGAAAATTGTCGCTAAATATACATCCCACAGATTTGTATGATAAATTTTGTATTACATGTATGATACAAAATCTTACTGTGTATACACTCTTAATACAGTGTATCATACGATTTTTCGAATCTTGTGAAACTGTATTAAGAATAGGACAATCCTCTATTTCTTAATACAGGATCTTGACTTACCTTTCACTTTCAACCAATCAAACGTACTCCCATTGGGCGTCATCTTATTTATACAATTACTTAAAAAGCACAAGTAAAGACATCGAAACTTCGTGGTTTTATGGGAAGGGGAAGAGAACTTGTTGAATACAGTGTATATCAAGCAGTGCATAGTACGATGATAGACACTGTTATATGAACCTCATCTTCCATTTTTATTATTTGCACAAGGAGAGAAATATGGCGAGGGAAAACACGTTGGAATACGTGGTTTATTTACAATCTTATAAGATATGTATTAGCGTGATTACAAGAAAGTATTATTCAAAAATGTTTTTAAAATACTTGTATTATACTTTATTAAATACATGTAAGTATAAGGCCACAACAATTTAATTCCGTGTTCGTAGCACATTTGAAAAGAAAATGTATGAGGATGCAAGTGATATTAAAAACATAATTATTACTTTTTAAGTCATTTTTTAGGCGGAGCTAAAAAAAAATATGAGCAGACAACTTATTATATCAGCCAAATGATATAGAAAGATAACAGAGCTCTGTCATTAAGTCAACTTTAAGCGAATGATTGCAATAGGTTTCATTCTCTGAAGCAAATAAGATTGTATTTTTTTTACAAGTGTAATTAAGTAAAACTGCTATAAATGAATTTAAACGTAGAAATCAGATGAAAGTCCATATGTTAAACCTATTTTTACAGATAATTAATGCATAGATTCGTCATCAAGAAAAGCAATTGGACTTGTGTCCTTTTTTGCTTTTATGTTGTTTAACGTACATGTAACTCTCTAGAATTTTTCACTCATATGACAATGCTACTTTTGCCTTTGGAGAGCTGAAAATTTTGACCTTTGTCCTTTTAGAAAATATTTAATTCCGCACATAACACCTTCTCATTTTTTCAGTCCTGAGACAAAGAGGAAGATTTGCTGGATTTTCTCTTTATCTCTCAAGTTCTACTATAAAAGAAAACGGATATATGTGCTACAAAGACGGACCAGAGTTACCTCCCTTAAATTTCACGACAAACTGTACAGGATATGGTAGATATGTCATATACTACAATGAAAGATTGAATGGAGTAAAGTATCCAGCGGGATATGAATCTATGTCTTACACTCAGTTGTGTGAAGTGGTAGTGAAAGGTAAGTAGAAAAAAGTCATTTTATGTTTTTTTCCTTGTGTATACGTAGATGTATTAAATTATTTTTTCAACAGGATGCTCTAGAGGAAAATTTGGGATAAACTGTACTATGAATTGTCCTACTAATTGTTGTGGAGGAAAATGTGATATAATCAATGGTAAATGTATGGAATGCAAACCGGGATGGGAGGGAGAAAAGTGTCAAACATGTAAGATGAATTTTCATTTGATAAATTTGTGTGGCTCATACATTTATAGAACTCTTTTTGATTTCTAAATATTTACTTGTCAACATAGTTTGCCTTAAAGGATCTTACGGTCAGGACTGTAAATTTCGATGTTCAGGACATTGCAGAGATGGAACTTCGTGTGACCATGTGACGGGTGAATGTGCCGAAGGATGTGTGTCGGGATGGACTGGATCGATCTGTAATAAAAGTAAGACAGAATATGTTAATTAGATTTCTCTGTAAGGACCATTATATTTGAATCAATTGTTCTTGAATGAAGTACATGCATACATGTTAATATTTTTTTTTTATTTTCAAAGTCGCCCGCATGGCGCAGAGGTTAGAGCGTCTGCTCTAGAGTCGCGAAGTAAGGAGTCAATCCTTACGTCAAAGGTTCGAATCCCACTGTGGGACGTGGAAACCGGTCCTTCGGATGAGACCATATAAACCGATGCCCAATGTCGCAGTAGGTGCTGGCACAAAAAAGATTCCTCCCTGCTCAATGGCCCTGAGAGCTCCACCAGCTAGTGCTGGTGTCTCCATATGACTGAAAAATTCTCGAGAGGGACGTTTAACAATATACAATCATTCATTTTAAAGAGCTAAAAATAATGATCTATGCAAAAATCTCATTTTTGAAAAATAATACAAAGTTTAATGGCATGTTAAAGATATACCGACATAATCTGATGCTATTTAATTCACTGCATGCATGGTAAAGACTATAAAATTGTATTAATAAGGTTAACTTCAGGTGATTTCTTGGATAAAAGTCTAAAAAGTATTAACTAATCCGAATATTAATTTATAAATGATTTTTGAAGTAATACTATAAATAAATGTGAGGAGTGTATTGCAAGAAATTTTCGTTTTAATTAGTTGATATACACACTATAGATACACATGACATTTTATGTTATGATTAAAATAAGCTTCCTCATCCATGTAAATACACGAATTTATCAAATTTAAGCTTGTGAAACTGGACATTATGGCATGAATTGCTCCTCAGCGTGCATTGGACATTGTTATCGTAAAGAACCATGTAACAAGGAAACTGGGCATTGCGATTCGGGTTGTAGTGTTGGATATACTGGGGCTTTATGTCAGAGAAGTAAGTTTTAACAATTGTTTTAAATGAGTGTACAAAAGATAATTGTGATGTTTATGAATTAATGTTTGTATGTGTATGTGTATGTGTTTAAACATTTGTTTATTTTTAAAAGTAAAAACATGATTTACAGAAGAATGAATTATTAAGAAATATTGCAATTTCTATTTGTTTTCTCAATGAAAACCCTTTGAGTTGATTTCTTGAAAATTCTACCGGAATGTGAATTAGGCAATTTGATGTCAAAGTTAAGGAGGCCTAATCTGTATGTAAATCGCATGTGTGCCTGTCTTTGTTTCTGATGGTGAGGAGGCCAAATATGTACAAAGTAAATCTAGTGCGGCTAAACTTGTATTTGACGTGAGTGGGTGAGGACAATACTTAATACAGAGATAACTTGACTTCGCAGAACTCTTTCGTGATGGAGGTAGGAAATGTTCGTTGGATAGGGGCAAATGTGAAATTGAATATAATGCAAGATCAATAATTGTAGAATTTATAAGGGCAGATAATCCTGCTAGAATACCTTGCTAAACAATCGCTGAACCACCCTAATCAATTTTTGAGAGGAGCTAATCCTAAAATGTTATATATTTACGATATATTAACTATATTTTTAACTTAGCGGACTCTCCTCATTTAATTTTAATCCTAATGTTATATTCTAAACTTTCCTTATTTGGCAATCTACTATTTGGAGTTCAATCCTTGGCAATACATGGTACTTTCGGCAAAAAAATGTTCGAATCATTCGATTGACACTACTGTAAACAATGCCATTTGCCCCAGAAATATTACAAAATTTAGCATTGTCTCGATTTCCCGCAAAAAAGCGGTGGTAAGTTATACGAATACGTGGTACTCGCGATATTACGTATTGAAGATAAAACGGGAGGCCTCGTGTAATTTAAATCTTTTAGTCTGCAACATTAAAATCTACAAATTTATTTCAAAATGAATCACTGAACTGTATACCAAGAACATCAACGATACTCGGAAACGTGGGATAATTTATGCATAACGGGCTTCTCTAGTCCCTGGCATACTATACTAAATAGGCAGTGATTCCTCAACTTTTTTTAAGTATACCTGTGTTTCTTGTATTTATGAACAATTACTTACATATACAGAATGTACACCTGGGTGGTTTGGAGAAAACTGTAGGGGGCGCTGTAGTGGACATTGTGCTGATAAGGTTGTTTGCAATCACGTGGACGGAATGTGTCCTCATGGATGTGATGACGGTTATACCGGACAAAATTGTACCAACCGTAATATATGGAATCTCTAATATTCTAATTATATAGAAAACAAATCCTTACTTTCAATTATCTGGGTGTTTTTATATTTATATTTTCAAACTCTGAATCAAACAATACAAAGAGAAACTTTCAATTTTTTATCATATTGTAGCGTGTCCTCTAAAATACTACGGTAGAAATTGTTCCAGTTTATGTTCTTCAAAATGCAAGGATGCCTGCAGACATACTGATGGTTTTTGTACATGCAGTCCTGGTTGGATGAATTCTCCGTTTTGCAACACAAGTAATTAATGATTTATATATTAACATACTTTTTTAGCAAAATTATAGCGAAAAACTTAACCAGGTATTATTCATTTTCAGAATGTCTTCCTAATATGTATGGCGAAAATTGTGCTCATATTTGCAGCCCAAATTGTGCAAATTTCACTTGTGATAGATTCAATGGGAGTTGTCTTACAGGATGCAAGGAACCATTTTATGGAGACAGATGCAATCTAGGTAAATGAATAAAATACAAAGAACTCCCTTAAAAAAGTTGCTTTAGTAAAATTTTTTTATCGCAGTAGTGTAGTGTGTTTGTTATACCCCTGCTTGAAAGTGGGATGACATATAGTGATCGGAGTGTCTGTCTGTTACGCTCTAGGGTCTTCATCTCTAATCTGCAACTCCTCTTATACACTGTACCTCTGATTGAAATTAATTGAGGCGTTAATAGATTCTTTGTTACAAATTGCCACTTTGAACGTTTTCTTTTACCTTTGCTATTTTAATCACACAGTGAGCGCAGAACATTTTTTTTTATCAAACTCTTTGCCAGAGACATTTTGTTTTCAATTTTGAGACAAAGATTTCTTCTCAGTTGAACCAATGTCTGTCATCTACGTACATGTAAAAGTATGAGTGCCACTTGGACACTTTTCATTGTTTTTTCTTTATAGTTTTAACAGCTACAAATTTTACACTTTAATCTCTAAATTTTACATTTTAAAGTGTAAATTTAATGATTATCTTACATTCGTTTAACAATGACTTTTAGTATTCTGTCTAGACATTTTATCTGCAAGCATCGTCTCAAGCCCAATATCCGGAGTCTTCTGAATAGGAAAGTATCGTATATTTTGGCCGTGTTTTGCGATGGTGATTGACTTCACTGAATGTGTGAGTTAGAACCGTAAAAAATTCCGTTTATCTGAAAGAAAAATTCGAAGATGGATATGAATGGTTAAGCGATATCTGTGATGTTAATGCAACTATACAAATCTGCGTAAAAAGCGAAGAAAAAGAAATATTTTTAAAAACAATGACTTATATATTAAGTTTTAAAGTCATCATTCATCAATAAAAGAAATGAAAATAAAAAGGCCTAACTTTTTTTATTATCATTATATTTTATTTTATAGGTCAAATTAAACTGGCAGCTGAAAATTTAGCATCCGACTGTGACTCATTGACATGGATTGTAATGTTTGTAATATCTGTCACACTAAATACAGTAGGGTGTGTTGCCTGTGTATTTTCAAAAAGGTAAATGCTAATTTTCAGAATTCTATCCGACTTGTAATTTAGACCGGAGATATAAATCAATATGTACTGTACCGCATTCAAAGCGTTTTTAATTATTAATTTGTGAAAAACATCTCATATATTTAAGTCAACTACAATTCACAAATACATCGCCATTTACCTACAAAGTATATTGCAGAATTATTTCAAGAGTATTCAATGTTCATAATCTAGCTCCTTTTCTACGCGTTTTGAGGGCATATAATCCAAGACGATTGTTGATGAAAGCAGCATGAACTTATTGCTATTCACAGTTAACATGTCATACAAAAATTGGTCGTTTCTTGCATTTTTTGTCTCTTCTTGAAGTTGAAGTTGAGGCGGTATGCTTTTTAGCTCAATATACGAATTTGATAACAGCAATTGCAACAACAATACTACATCAGAAACTTGAGATAAAGTGTGAACAATTAATATTTCTAAATAAAAAAAAACATTAACAGTCCCTATACAAGCTAGAAGTTTTTATATGAGTTTGACTTTAAAGATTCAGTATTTCTATAAATATATCTTAATTTTTAATTTCTGCAACCTTTTTTCAATGCTGGGCAAAAGTGGATTTTAAATGTTTTAAAATGTATTTTGGATGAGAGTTGTTGTATAGATGTTTGAGCTCAATGCCTAGCACATGTACAATTGTGATTCATTTTGTTTTAAGTCAATCGAGACTTTCTTGCAGTTATGTGAACCTTTTTTAGCTGTCAGAGTTTGTTTCTTGTTTTCAAATTCATTATTCTAGAAAACGGATCGCACAAGTCTGGAATGATATAAGAGGGAACTCGGAAACCTACATGAACAGAACGAATAACAAATCAGTACAAGACGATGATGTTCATAACTATCAAGAACTTGATGTATCTGTAATTAACGAAAAGGATTATATTAATTTCCAAATTAAAAGAGATTAATTTTTAATGATAAACTTTGAATCGTTAATCCCTTGCAGGACTCATTATCTTATCAGATACGTGGATCTTTCGTTGCACATTTTACACAATATACTTTGTCTTTTATATGTCTTCGTTTTGTTTTTTGTGGTACATGTAGATAAGATATTAAAGTCTTGTTCGTGTAAAAAAATCGATTTTCTATAATCGTTATTTTCACAATAATTGCCTGTTCTGAAAGATTCTATGTGAGATAACTATTATAACCTAAGTACATTCTCATCTATAAAATTATTATTTTTTGTTTCTTTCCGTCAACTTTCAAAATGTTCTGCCTTATAAGAATTCTAATAAGTTTATCTCTCAAAAGAAGTAGATATTA